TGACGATTCTCCTAATAACGCCTGGGCAGCTCTAATTAAATTAGAAATTCTAACGGGTGTAATCCCTCGGCTCCATGCTCTCGCCGACGTGTTTACAATTCATGTAGTTTGCATTGGGAGTAATTGACAGGCCGAAGGGTGGCTCTTGACTGACGTCGCAAGGTCATGCAATTGGGTTATTATAAACGTGACGGCGAGGTCATGAACAGAATCGCAGACCCACCGACAGTATACTGTTCTCTGCCTTTGTCGGTCTATAGATCGGTTGGTTTGTCCGTCGGTCGGTCGGTCGGTCTGTCTGTGTGTCGGTCGGTATCTATCTATCTGTCTATCTATCTATCTATCTATCTATCTATCTATCTATCTATCTATCTATCTATCTGTCTGTCTGTCTGTCTGTCTGTCTGTCTGTCTGTCTGTCTGTCTGTCTGTCTGTCTGTCTGTCTGTCTATCTATCTGTCTGTCTGTCTGTCTGTCTGTCTGTCTGTCTGTCTGTCTGTCTGTCTGTCTGTCTATGTACAGACCAGAAGGGCCTAAAGTAAACCGGGCCTACATGCTTAATTAACCTTTTAAAAAAAACAGTTCATTGGTCCATTCCATCTATCTGTCTGTCGATCTAACCATCAACACTGGTTGAATGGAACCCCGTTTCAATCATCACACTAGGCTGGGGCCTGTCATTATCCACAGGTAACGCTGTCACGTGACAAATTCCCCCAACAAACAAACGATGGGGCACACGAGCGCGTGAGCGGCCCTCAATAATTCAGGCCCCTGGGGGGAGACGGGTGTGGGCCGACTGGCTGGGGCGGCATGCATTATTTAGTCATGTGATTCTAGGCAATCAACAGACGCATGTGGTGAATTAGCTCAACGACTGTGGTGTTCTCTCTCTCTCTCTCTCTCTCCTCTCTCTCTCTCTCTGTCTCTCTCTCTCTCTCTATGTTTCAGTGTTAGTAATATGTAATTCTCTCTCTCTCTCTCTCTGTTTCAGTGTTAGTAATATGTAATTCTCTCTCTCTCTCTCTCTGTTTCAGTGTTAGTAATATGTAATTCTCTCTCTCTCTCTCTCTCTCTCTCTCTCTCTCTCTCTCTCTCTCTCTCTCTGTTTCAGTTAGTAATATGTAATTCTCTCTCTCATTCTCTCTCTCTCTCTCTCTCTCTTTCAAAGGCATTCACTCGCTCTTTATTTCTCTTTATCTTTCTCTCTGTCTTTATCTTTGTTTTTATTTTTTCGCGCTGCCTCTTTCTCTGTCTTCATCGCTCCCTTTGTCTCTCACTCTGTCTGTCTCTGTCTTTCTCTTACACACCATCTTTCTTTATTTTTCTATCTCTTTCTCTGTCTTCATCTTTTTCTCTTTCTCGCGCTGCCATTGTTTTTCTCTGTTATCGTCGCTATAAGTCTTTCTGTCTTTATTGCTACATCTCTTTCTCACTGTCTTCATCGCTATATCTCTTTTGTGTGTGTCTTCATCACCATATGTCTGTCTTTCTGTCTTTATCGCTTTAAAGCTCTTTCTCTCTTCTTCGCTATGTATTTGTCTCTATGGCTGTCTCTGTGACACTTTGTCTCTTTCCTTCTGATCCTTTGTCTCCAGTTCTCCCTCTACCTTGAACTTTTTGTAATTATATCTTTACTCTTTTCTACACGTTCTAAATCATCCCCTGTCTTTGCTACTGTCTCCTTATCTTCTGTTTAATCTCTAACCACCCATCCCTCTTTTGTATTTCTCCCTCTATATCCCCCCCCCCCCCCTTTTTCAGCGTTTTCTCTGGCCAAATAATAAAGTACTGCAACTAAAGCTTTTGATTTTTATGTTGTCTAGTATGTTCTTCTATCTTTCTACTTCTATCAATGAGTGCCCATCAATACACTTTCTGTTACTGGATTAATTCATGAAACACAACGCGTTGTTTGTGATTCGGAAGCCATTGACACAATACCCGTATCTGGGCTTTAAAACAGCTACACCGGAGAAAGTCAAGCAGTAGGCATCTGAATTCAAGAGTCACAGAAACCCCTTTCGCACGGCTTCAGTCGTATAGGGCATATAGGGCTAGAACTATATTTTATAGACCAATCGATACTCAGTGGGTGAGGTGATCAAGCATCATGCCGGCCGGCTTTGTTTCCCAGGACTTTAACTGGTGCCTATGTAACGCTGGGTCGATCTGGGAGCCAGTCGGTTTTTTTTTTTTTTGTCAACATAAAAGCTCGACTCGATCAGGTCTTGAACCCACGAACTTTAGATCCGCAGGCGAGCGTCCAGCCGCTGCACCACGGCGGCTGCCACAGAAAGAAAACAAACCAAAAGCGCCCAGATAAGATATCATTCCTAATCTGATTTCATCAAAAAATTCGATAGAAATAACACAAACAATCAGTCAGACATACAGTACATTGCGCTGTTGAAATCTTCCTTATCAGAGGGCGGACACAAAAAAAAAAAAAAATTGATGGCAGATTTCAGATTGAGAAAATAGCAAATTGCCTGCTCTTTGATCCCCCTAATTTGCCAGGAAAACATCCGGGCCACGAGCCAACTTCACAAAGATGTCGGACCAAAGAGTCAGATAACATCAGAAGAAGATTTCCGACGAAACGTTGGAGACTGGCAATCTTGTATTCTAATTACCCGTCCGTAATTAAATAACATTATCAGATCAAAGACGGCTGCATTAGAAAACAAAAACGGCTTATTTCTGCTTTTATCTCTCGTCCTGGATGAATACATGTGTTTATTTAAAGTGGCAAATGTAAATATCAGTGTTATTATACTGTTAAAAAAAAAAAAAAAAGCGCGTTATCTGATGGCGAGTTATATGTGTTAACGGACAACCCGTACGCCTAAAAACTGTCGTTGACCATAAAGCAAAAAAAAAAAAAAAACTTAGGTATTCCTATGTGCAATTTGAACAGTTTGTTTTCGTTAAATACAAAGATTTCAGTGTCATCGATGTGTGGTGTGTGTGTGTGTGTGTGTGTGTGTGTGTGTGTGTGTGTGTGTGTGTGTGTGTGTGTGTGTGTGTGTGTGTGTGTGTGTGTGTGTGTGTGTGTGTGTGTGTGTGTGTGTGTGTGTGTGTGTGTGTGTGTGTGTGTGTGTGTGTGTGTGTGTGTGTGTGTGTGTGTGTGTGTGGGTGGGGGTATAGATATTGATATTTTGGTATCATCGGAATCTGAAAATTAGAAGTCATAAACGCCGGCTCACAATCCCGACTTACAAGGAATCCAAATCGGCTGCTGGCCATTTGGCAGCAGACTGCTTTGTCTTGATTTTGACAGTAGTATGGACAACGGCCGTCTCCAGGAGCTAGAGTATGACCACCGTGAACATCCAGCGACTGTAGGGACAGTGTTTCGAGAGAGACGTGATGTGTGGTTCCAATGAAAATGCTCCATGGCCCATTGATGTAACTCCAGCATTACTTCTTCTTCTTCTACTCGTTCACCGGCTGTAAACTCCAGCGGAAAGTTCTGGTTGTTCGTCCACTTCTGGACTGTATTCCAGAACCTGAGTGTTGCGTGTACATCCATTTCACAGGTCTGACTCATTTGCATGCAGACTGTTGGTTACTTGCCTCTCAGGTAGATATACTCCGACTTTGAAAGAGTTAGTCGACTCTTACGACATGCTTTTGGGCAGGTAGTGGGTCAGTTCTTGTCTCTCCTTCCCCTACCACCACAATAGGGCTCCAGAAACAACACGGGCCTTGCGTTGGAATACATGTGCTCTTTATGTAGCAGAATATGCGGGGGTGAAAGGAAGCGAAAAAGCTGACAGACTGGCCGTGTCTGCAGTAGTTAGTGGAGGCAGTTTATGTAATTAGTAACTGCCATGAACGTCCGGCGACTGCAAGAACAATGTATAGAGAGAGAGAGAGAAAGAGAGAGAGAGAGAGGGGGGGGAGAGAGAGAGGGAGAGAGAGAGGGAGAGAGAGAGGGCGAGAGGGAGGGAGAGAGAGAGAGGAGAGAGAGAGAGAGGGAGAGAGAGAGGGAGAGACAGAGAGAGAGACAGAGAGAGAGGGAGAGAGAGAGGGAGAGAGAGAGGGAGAAAGAGAGAGAGGGGTAGAGAGAGGGAGAGAGAGAGAGACAGAGAGACAGAGAGAGAGACAGAGAGAGAGACAGACAGAGAGAGAGACAGAGAGAGAGACAGAGACAGAGACAGAGAGAGAGAGAGGGACAGAGAAGAGAGAGGGGGAGAGAGAGAGATAGAGAGAGACAGAGAGAGAGGGAGAGAGAGGGAGAGAGAGACAGAGGGAGAGAGAGAGAGAGGGAGAGAGAGAGGGAGAGAGAGAGACAGAGAGAGAGACAGAGACAGAGACAGAGACAGAGAGAGAGAGAGAGGGACAGAGAGAGAGAGAGAGGGGGGAGAGAGAGATAGAGAGAGAGACAGAGAGACAGAGAGAGAGAGGGAGAGAGAGAGAGAGACATTGTGATGTGTATTTCAGTGGCATTTCTCACTAACACATTGATGTAACTCCAGTATTATATAAGTATGTGACGAGACTATGCTCCATAATTTGTAGTTGGTCCTTTGGCGCGCGTCCCTCTTATCGCAGGCTGCCTAAAAGAAATGTCCCTAACCAGCTCTGCTCCCTCATGCACTGTCATTCTCAAGGAGTCACTTATATCCTGTGCCCAGCTTCGTGCTGGTCGGCCCCTGCTCCTTTTCTATCGGCCTCTTGTCCTCTGCTGTTTTTTTTTTTTTTCTCTTTCTCCAATACGGGGTGCCTGATATGGCCAGAATATTTAAGCTTCTGAGACAAGATAATATTTACTAAGAAGTTTTACTTCCGAGATATTATTTGTTAACAAAGTCTTACTTCCGAGATAAGATGTTAATTACTAACAAATCTTACTTCCGAGATAAGATGTTATTTGCTTACAAGTCTTACTTCCGAAATAAGATGTTTTTTGCTAACAAGTCCTAATTCCGAGATAAGATATTATTTTCCAACAAGTCTTACTTCCGAAATAAGATGTTATTTGCTAACAAGTCTTAATTCCGAAATAAGATGTTATTTGCTAACAAGTCTTGAGATAAGATATTATTTTCCAACAAGTCTTACTTCTGAGATAAGATGTTATTTTCCAACAAGTCTTACTTCCGAGATAAGATGTTATTTACTAACAAGTCTTACTTTCGAGATAAGATGTTATTTACTAACAAGTCTTACTTCCGAAATAATATGTTATTTGCTAACAAGTCTTAATTCCGAGATAAGATATTATTTTCCAACAAGTCTTACTTCCGAGTTAAGATGTTATTTGCCAACAAGTCTTTCTTCCGAGATAAGATGTTATTTGCTAACAAGTCTTCCTTGATGATAAGATCTTTGAGGATGTCAGTTATTTGTTTTCGTCTTTACTCGTGGTACTCTGTCAATCAGCGTCACCTTCATGGTGCCTTGGGCAGAACAATAAGGGCTGCTACAGTTTCCAGGAAATGAGACAGCGGCAGACCTCTGCGATCGTGGATAAAAGACATTTTCTAAATTGCTTGACTCCCTCTTGAAATTCCCTTATGTCCCCTTATCCTCCACTAGACGGCGGGAAGGAGGTGGGGGGGGGGGGGGGGGGGGGTAAACCACTGTGGTTTTTTTTTTAACGATGGTCTCCCCATTTACACATCACCGATTGTAGGTCAACTCCATTGATAAGTTGGTTGGACTAGTCAACCGTGGTCGAGGTTATGGGTGTCGTAGTCTGTTGTATGGCATTTACGTTTTTGTTTCCAAGAAAGAGACGGCCTGTGACATAAGTTGTGTTACTCTCTAGGGTGGTTGTGTGTTAGATCCAGTATGTAAATTGTTTTAGAAGTGTTACAAGCTCTGGCATGGTGAAATATACAACACGCGGTATCAGTGCGAGTGCGGAATTTCCCCGTGACCTTGTGTGAAAGCTTGAGGCCGACCTGTAGAATGTGAGGTGGTCAGTAGGTCGTCCAAACAGAAGCGAGCTAGTGTGTAGCGGGTGTAAATGGGGAGAGCAGCGTAACATTTACCAACCACTGTTACCTGACCGTGCCTGTCTGCGCGCGCTGGCTGCTGGGACATCAGGGTAAATAACGATGTTGTAAATCATTTTTGTGTGTCGTAGTTTCCACTGTTGTACCTGCCGGGTTAAGAGGGGAATTGAATTGCCTTGCTGGTGTTTCCCCGTCATCATCAGGTGCCTTGCCAACTGGCTTAGGCGATCATGCGTCTCCACAGTCTGCGATTTCCTACAGCATATGTCAGTCTGTGTGCTGACATACCTCCATGCCATGCAACAAGACTGTCAAAAATCTTCTTTCTCCGCCCCCCCCCCCCAACCCCACCACCCCCCGATATTGTTAAAAACTAATGAAACTATCAGACAAATTGTGGGAACACCTTGTACTAGACTCATCGAGAAACAGCAGATTAAGTGGTTCGGCCATCTCGTTAGAATGCAGCAAGATCAAATACCATCACAAGCACGTCATCTCAGAAGATCAGCTACAAGAGCAAGAGGACGGCCACGAAAAACATGGATCGACAACATTAAAGACACTCTACGACTTTATGGCATGACAATAGCCAGTGGCAGCCAACGTGCACTGAATCGCAAATTACTCCTCCCCACGATGCTCAACGGCAGAAGTGGTTTATGATGATGATGATGATGATTGTTAAAAACGTTCTCATAATTAATAACATAAAACACGCATCACAGAGTTGAAGGATGACCCCGTTACAACCCCCGGGGGTTAGGCGTTAGCTCCGGCCCGGACCACACGTGAAACGGGCAATTTGTGGGGAAAATGTTTATTGAACTATTAATGAGGTTTAGAATAAAAATGTAGCCCATATTATTATAACGTAATGTTCCTGTTTCTTTCTTCTTGCTTTAATACACGTTCTGTCTTCTTGCACACCATCTCTCTCTCTCTGTCTCTCTCTCTCTCTCTCTATCTCTATCTCTCTCTCTCCCTCTCTCTCTCTCTCTCTCTCTCTCTCTCTCTCTCTCTCTCTCTCTCTTCCTTTTTAATCACTCTTGTTCTTTCACACACACAGACTGTCTTCCTTTACACTTATGCTTTACACTTAATCTCTCTTCTCTTGCACACAGTCTCTCTGTCGTCCTTAACACTTGTTCTCTCTTCTCTTTCACACACTGTATCTCTCTCTCTTCCTTCAAATTTAATCTCTCTTCTCTTTCACACAGTTTCTCTCTTCCTTCAAATATAATCTTTCTTCTCATTCACACACACCCTTCCAATAAATCACAAATCTCATGTACACATCTCTCCAGTAGATGATAAACTACATGTACGATTCTTCTGATGAATCACTTTTAATTCAATATACACGTTCTTGCAATAAATCATAGATATCACGAACACCTTCTTGCAATAAATCACAATTGCTATGTACGCATTCCTCCTGCAAAAAACCCCCCCCCCCCCCCCCCCCCCCCCCCCCCCCCCGCCCCCCCCCCCCACCCCCCCCCCCCCCCCCCCCGTTCCTCGGATATAAACAATAACGAAAAACTTCCCACTTACACATTTATTATCAAACTCACCCCCTTTTCCGCGTCTCCCATTAATAGAAAACAAATACCATGTACGCATTTGTACAACTCTGCACAAATCTCATGAACATATTCTTACACCCATACCCCCTCCCCCCTTCCGACAGACACACACACACCCACGCATCCCATTTACACATTTTGACAACCTCTTGCAAATCCCCTTGACACATTGAGACAACCCTGCCCTAATCTCGTGTACACATTCTGACAACCCTTTACAAATCCCATGTACCCATTGTAACAACACAGCACAAATACCAAGCACACGCACTTTCACAACACGACAACAAAGACCCCATACGACTTGCCACTACATAAATCCCTAGTGATACAGACAGAAATAAAGCAGACACGCTAGTGTATGACTCTGTAATTATCCAACTAACGCTGGCGTCTATTTCTGTCTAATTACAATTCAACTCTGGCTATTCAGACTGCCAGCCCCAGAACGCAAATAATGCAGTTGATAATCTGGCTTTTAATGAGGGCTCTGGCATCAGTTTTAGAATTCTGACAATCAATATACACACCGCGGAAGGGAACCTTCACAAGATATCAGCATAGCCGCTGGAAACTTTGGGATTTACTGAAACGCTGAAATAGTGCTTGTCCTGCTCACTCGAAAGTGTCCTAGTGGCTTGAGAAATGACGTGGATTCTATGAATTGCTGACGGTTAAGACGGTGACGGAGATATTAAACTGGAAAAAATCCTAGTCACCTGAATAAAATCTAGGATTTACTGAAACGATGAAGTGGTGCTTGTCGTGCTTGCTGGAAATTATCCTGGTGGCTTCAGACGTGTCTGGGATTTGCTGAATTGCTCAACGTTAAGACGGCGATAGAAGTGTTTCATTTGAGACTATCCTAGGGAACAGCGTGGTCCCCAGGCATGGTGTCCGCCTCGAGTGCTAGAGGTTTAGCGTTCAATCCCCGGTAAGGGCTGGGATTTCTTCTCGTGCACTTGGACTTCAAGTAATTCCCCCTTGTCTCTTTGTAGTGAGATCGGACGCCCGTGTGAACTGATGCACACGTAAAATATCCCATGGCAGTTGGAAATTGAAAATAATAGCCTTTCGTCACTGCCCGGGAACAATTTTTAGTTAAAAATCTACCTAAAGTATTTCAGGACCCTCGCCGGTGCTACAGAGCCTGTGCACTGAGCTGAGCTTTTTTGGACTCAGACTTGAGTTAAAAGTAGAACGGAGCACCTATGGGTTACAACCCGTGTGCCATGATGTTGATCCGTTGTTCAAAACCTCAAACCTGGACTATCCTGGACAGTTATGAAACATCTAGGATTTAATGAAATACCGAAGCTGTGATGGTTGCTCTGCGCACGGTAGTGTCATATTTTGAAAATTGTAGGATTGACTGAATTGCTAAACATTAAGAAGGTATGGAAATGCAACTGTAGCACTATGTAAGATATACTAAATGTTGGTGTTGAAATAGGAATTGGTCCTGAGCAAAAGATATTATTCTGACCAATTGTAGAATATCTATTACTGACTTTTGAGGAGCGGCTGGCCGAACGGTTAGGACGCTGGGCTTTCATTCAGGAAACTCGGATTCGAATCCTCGGTAAGGCTGGGGACTTTTTCTTCCTCACCTGCACAGTCCGTAGCGACAGCACTAGCCATGCGGCCGTCAAACCTCGGGTTCAAAGACCCGACTGCCTACACAGCAAAAGTGGTTTATTGAAGACAGTCATTGGCAGTTTTTACTCACTACTTGTTCTGCTGCCCTTTATCTCCTAGTGGAGCCAGCTGACAGGCCATGCTGCTGACGTTACCTAGTCGGGCTAATGATGCGTTTAAGCAGCGGTTCTTAAACTGGGTGCCGAGGCACCCTGGGGTGCGTGAGCGTATGCCAGGAGTACCGCGACAGTAATCAAGAAAAGTCTGCTAAAAAAGTGAAATTATTAAAAGAAGGCGTGTAGATACTTAAAAGTTAAAATTTAAGTTGTTTTCTCTCGCCACTGTCGAAAATAGTTTATTTCTTGTTTGAGAACCGCTGGGTTAACGCACCGTTAGCCCGACCCGGTGACGTCAGTTTACGGTCCGTTAGCTTAGCCCCCAACCAACTCACGCCACGTCATCCAGTTCTTGACTATTCCATGCAGTTCATCCCATGTCCTCTCCATCTTTTTAACTTCACTTTCTAGCTAATTTTTGCATTTGTTTTCTGGTGTGCCTTTATTATTATTGTTTTTGTGTGTGTATATATTCCAATATTGGTTATTTCCAGAATCCGTGTGTGTAGTTTAGGCATTGCAAACTCGCTTCGTAATTCTATGGTGCTTGATCTATCCCAGCTGCAGGCGATTTGGCAGCAGACCAGCTTGCGTTGGTTCCCACCGTGGTATTGAGAGCCGACCGTTTAGGAAACAATGTCAATACTACATAGCGTAAATTTGCATCTAACCCACTCTCATCCACTCACATGTATATGCTGTCCGTGATATGCAGCAGTGCGAGGAAATAAAAGAGCGGATTGTATGGCTACAGCAGCGATAGCTGCAGGAACACTCGACTGGATAAAGAAGA